AAATAAATCCACTTTTTAGAAAAGGAAAAAGAGGCATCATTGATTTTGTAATTATCTTCTTCCTTTCAGGTAAATTACGTCCATGCATTTTTAACATATGTCAGGAAATCAATAACATTAGTTATATAAATCAATATTTAATTAGGCACATCCTGGATAGCAGGATTCCTTACTTTGCTTCGTAGAACCTACTATATGTGTATGTTTATTTAATCAGTCACATGGGGAACCTACATCTGCCCACTGATTAAAGTACATTTATGATTTATCGTTTAGGTACATATCTTATGTGTGTCGAAGCGAGTCTATATCGAAAAAATAAAGATATTCAAAGCAGATTTGTAATAAATAACATGCTATTTTATTCTTTATACAGTCAGCCTAAGAACTTTAACAATACATGTATGTAATTCTACTTTGTTTAAAACATGTGGTTTGCTTTTGTGTTTTGTGTTTTGTATTTTGTTTGCAAGGTAAAATAAATATACAACATTTGATATAGCGTCCTATCTAGCTAGAATAGCTACTTTAAAGTGCATTACAGTAGATAGATATACAATTTATACAATCAAAACAGTTAGCATATACATTAATCAAAAGAAAATTGAGGAATTCGTACGAGCTGCCTTATCAGGCGCTATTAACTAGTAACTACATAATTGTGCAATACACATTAAAATGAACGTTTACCACTAAGTTAAACCGTGGTACATAAACGAATCATAAATGATCAAATATAACAGCCTGCCTTCGGCTGACGGTACAAAAACGAAGCATCACTGTGTCCTAAAATAATAACCCACAGAACAGACTTCAAAAACGAAACATAACTATATATCAGACAAAAGATTACCGCGGTTCAGAAACGAAGTAAACATGCTTCCCATACAAAATTAAACTATGGTACAGAAACGAATTATAAATGCCTCAGATGTGCCTGTGCTGCCCTCGGCCATCGTACCTGTCTTTGCATTTCCTATTGACTTTGAAATCAAATATGTATTATGACAATGTGGAATAGTCTTAATAGAATGACCTGGTGAGAGGTGATCAGTATAGTCAGCATACACAAAGATTTACTATTGATTATTATCATATCATGGTATAAGAGTAAGCTGACCAAGCTCGATATCACACAGTTCAGACTGATTGGTATCACGTGTTTCATTAACTGCCATAGCATCGTACTGTCTAAGCCCTCTATGCTATTGTTGATTAGGGAATTTAACATTAAGATTGTAAACAAAGTATGACTCTATTGTTATATCATATTTGTTTTATTGTTAGACTTTTATAGAATAGATACATTATTGAGAAATTTTGGTTGTGTGTTGTTTTAAGTCTGATGTGATTGACGCGTACGTTAGTTTGATTGTGACATTGTCCTGGTGTGAAATGCTATTTCATATAAGTGATACGTACCTTAGAATGCAGATTGTCTAACCTTAGTTACATCTGTTTTACACAAACAAAAAAACATAAGGATGACGGATTCACCTGAAGTTAGTATCTTAAGCAGGGATCCAAATAATATCAACGAATTCCTCTTGGTAAGAATGAATTACTTTTTATCATTTCAGCTAATACATACTCCTATTTGATGTTTTATCAGATTTACCAATACTGTACATATGTAAACAAAGATTAATCATTAAATAACAGTGTTTAGAGAGTGAATTGAGCATTCGTTTGGACAAATATATTTCGTTTTCAATATGTAAATAAGTGACCATTCCTTTCTCTTCCATCAAAAATATTTAAGAGAAGGAGGCAACTACAGGCAAACAATGCATAACAACCTGTATAACGTATTCCTTAATCTATTCTATATTATACAAATCTGATTATAAACAAATTATGTTTGACTCATGTATCTTAAAAGTTACGAGTGGAGGGTGTTGTCGCAAATTTATACCTAAACGCACCTATTGCCAGCTGATTGACAAGTCGATAATGTGACAGAAAGATATGTCGAAAAACCGACAGGACGACAAGCCGTCAGAACGACAGACCGACAAGACGATAAGCCGTCCAAAAGACCGACAGGACGATAAGCCGTCTAAACGACAGACCGACAGGACGATAAGCCGTCCAAAAGACCGACAGGACGATAAGCCGTCAGAACGACATACCGACAGGACGATAAGCCGCCAGAACGACACACCGACAGACCGCCAGGACGACAATCAATCAGATCGACAGACCGACAGGACGACAACACGACATTACGTCATACCGACCGGATGACAAGCTGGCAGAACGAAACCGACAGGACAACAAAACGACAAGACATCAGGATAACATATCGACAGAACGGCAAGACGTCAGTACGACAGACCAAAAGGACAACAAGCCATCAGATCGACAGACCGACAGAATGGCAATAAATAATGAGTAGCCGATAGGTTGATAGACCACAATCAATAAAGTAGTTTCAGTGAACAATTACGGCAGTAATGATACCGTAGTTATGACGTTTATCTTTGGAATCAACACATTCAGTTCAATAACTGTCAAATAACTTTTACGCCAATTACAACCTAGTAAATGAATGAGAAAATGACATTATTTCAACAATGTCATTACGGTAGTATTGATTATTTGTATAGTTTTGTAGTCGCTACAATATATAATGATTGGAAACAAGAAATTATCGAAAACAGGGAGAGAATGGGTTTATTCAGATACAGTTTATTTTTATTAATTGCCGGTCTGCCGATGCCTGTTAACCGTTAACATCCGATATTGGCCTGGTTACAAGCCTGTCGTCTGTCAACCCGTCGGCCAGTTGAAATGTCTAATAGGGTCTGTATTTTTCAAACGTGGCCATATATTTAATATGGACTACTTTTTTGCATAAACAGACTCAATTTCATTTCATGACGATACAAATTTTCCATAAATCAGACTTGATCAAAGATGGTCTTTCTCGTCTGTTCCTTTATACATTTTCTAACTCTAGGTACAAAATGTATATCAACTGTTAATTTTCGTTGAAAATTAAAAGAAATACATATATTAATTTATCTTTTTTTTTTACAAAATGCGCTTCAAGAAAATTCTAAAAGAGCAATTTTCCTTTATTTTATAATGTTCACACTTACATTTTGCCAATTTTTTTTATAATAACGACGGCTTTATTGTGTAGGTAAACTTTGAGGACGTTTTTGCCGAGCCGAAAGACACGCATAGTCCTGGATGTGTTTGGCGTAATGGGTTCGGCTGTTACAGAGGAGGCAAGAACTGCTGTTACAAGTTCCTCACGTCAATATGCGGTCTGTGTATCTCCCTGGCCTGGGGCTGCGAATTCGCTCTCATGTCCTTTTCTATGGTTTGGTGTTTTGCCCCAAGTTTACGAATGTTTGGTATATGTTGCGGATGCTTACAGAAGGCTTTTGGCACTGCAATAACGTGCATTCTGGCTCCAATCTGCGAAAATTGTGGACTTTTCTTCAGCAGCATGCACTTACAAAATATGTAAATGAAAAAGGTATGAAAAATGGTTTAAAAGTAGCAAGATATTATAGCATAAAGACGTAATAATCGTAAAGATATACCGGAAAAGTCTCTGGTAAAATCCATATTCGATCAATGTAAATTTTGTCCTACTCATGACATTACTAAGAATTGTACAACTATAAGCTGTCATGATAAATTTGATCTAATTACGGAATATATAAAAATAATTTGATCAATGGCGGATTTGTAAAATATTGTCAATCATTTCGTGGTACATGCAACATCAAACTTGTTAAAGGGATGCAACAGGCATAATGTTATAACAAACTGTAGGAGATATGTTATTCATTATATAATAATTGTTGAGCTTTATGTGTCCACGTTTCCAACTTTAATTGGCTTTGATTATGAACATAGTTATATATTATATGTTCAGTGTAGAAACATGAATGTAAGACACTTGTGATGGCACTTTTCAAATTTGGTAATAGATGTAGTACATCCAAATGAAATACACTTCACCAGCTGTTTCATTATTCTATGGTTCATCGGTGATGCTAGGGGCCATAAGATGAAAACAAATAACTCTTAACAACTATTATTTTAACAGAATGGGAGGTGCGTGAACCCAATTAACTATATAACTTTATGAGTTTAAGAAAAAGGTAGGAGAATTAATATTGAGTAAAGTGTGTATATATCATGATCCGTGCCACTACTCAAAAGAGAAAACCGTGGTAGTTAAGGTTACAGCAAACCTCAAGCACTAGAGAAACCAACAGTAGAGTATACCACCGTGTATCTCGAAAGAGGGATATAAGACATACATATAGGATTGCACCTTTAAACATTTGGTAAAATAGTGATTCCCCTTCCCTAAATTAGTCTGCAGGTATACATATATATATAAACCGCCCGTGTTCTTTTGTAAAACGTCACGCTTTCTTTGTCCCCTTTAATGTGTTGATATTTAATTGATACATGTATATATAATATAACAGATGTACATTTTTTTTTATTAATGTAGCCTTTATTTTATATTCTAGTTCTATTGATCTTAACAATTTTGTAACTGTAATGGGTTGATGCTATGCGACCAGTAGAGTTTTTTTCAAATAATCAAATCTATGTATTTGTTACAGTGAAACTTGAATACACCATTCTTAAAAGAACGTCTGTAGCGTACAAAGCCTACCTGTCCTTATACTGGGGTGTAATTATAGACAAACGCTACAGTGTGACTATTCTGATAAATATGTTAAATATACAGGGAGGACAAAATGTCACCTGACTACAAACAAAGTCAACCAAAGTAAACAATATGGAAACCTATTCCAGCTTTTAGACCTAATATGCATTGGTGTTTTCCTCAACCCCCATTAACTATTTGAAGGTTAATGATCACAAAAATAGCACACGTCGTGTGTTTAACAACTAACAAAGGGCTAGAAACACTTTTTTTTAGATCTACGTCATCGAGATTGAATATCGTGACTGACAGGGAACAAAGAAATCGAACCATATGGGTGGTGCCTGATTTAAATACAAGCGAATAAATTTAAAAGTTATTTCAAATTGTACAAGCATTAGACGAAGACATTGTTACCGAATACGAGGGTATATATTTTTGCAATATTTGACAAAGATGGCGGTAGACTTACAAAACAGAGACACGTACGCGATAAATTCCCACCTACAGGTAATGTGAATTTTACTTTTTTATTGGTATATCATTTGTCCTGATTATGTCTATGGCATTGTTTCAAAACAAACCCGTGTCTGTAATGTCTAGGAATCAGTGTAGATTTGAGAAAGATTAATTCATCGGGTAGTTTTTGCACCTGTTTAAAGTTTCTCTTCGTTGACTTGTTGATCTAAAACATTGTCATTATTATCAAGCATATACTATATATTTAAAGTCTTAAGTGATTAAGTGCAGTTATTTACATACGTGCATGATTGTTTACTCATGCAAGATGTAATGTCGATACATTGTCCTGGGGGGGGGGGGGGGGGGTTCTTTCATTTTCTTGACAAGTTGCAAATGGCAGTCTATGAAATAATATTTACATGGCAATAAATTAAAAGAGTCCACCAAATATGGGTAGTAATTTCTAGTCCGTTTTGTGACGTCACAATAAATTGGCCTATGAAACTATGAATTATTCATCTCTCATAAACAGCTACTACAAAAGGCAATATCGCTCTGATACCAAGTTGACGATATCTAAAACATTTCATTGTAAATATGGCATTTTGCGTCACAAGATTGGTGACTCTCCTGGCGGGCTCTCAGTTCCAGAGGTTGGCTGTTAGTTTGAACCTAAAATATATTCTGGCACGACCAATATGAATTACTAGATGAAGAATTAAGTATCGACCATAGCCAAAATGTCAATTTTTAACATAAGTAAGGGTGCTGTAGCCACATTTTCCTTTTCGCTTTATTTCTACATGTGATTGGAACACTTTATGAACTTTCGTTCTATTGACATTTTGTACCACTGATGAAACGTAAATGGCCAAAATGACCCTACATTGCATAAAAGTAGCTAACTGCATATAATTTCATTTCAATAAGTGATCCTTACTCGGAATATCTAGTGGTTGAAGCTATAGTGAAAGGATTAATTAAAACTACTGAAAATAATTAAACTTTAACCAATCGTTCCTGGTTTATACTCATGTTTCAAAGTTTGAAAATATCACATGTCTAATTCCGTAAAAAAAAAAAAAACATAATTGCAGAATGCATTCAAATTATTTTAAACAGGTAAATTTTGAAGATGTGCTGGCCGAGCCGGAGGGGACTCGTAGTTGTGACTGCGTATGGGAAACTAGCTTCTGGTGTTTCACTAACAGCAAAAACTGCTGCTATATGTTAATGACAGGAATCTGCGGCATCTGTATCGCACTGTTCTGGGGATGTGAGTTCGCCGCTATCACGTTTGAACAGGTATGGTGCGTAACGCCGTTTCTACGAGTGTTCTCCATTCACATGGCCTGCTGCCAGAAGTTCTTCGGTACCGCTGTCCAGTGCTGCATGGCTCCCATATGTGAGACATTTGGATTATTTTTCAGTAGAATTATCATAGACCATCAAAATAAACGTTCATGAGGTTCAAAACATGAGGATTCGCATCAGAAGATTAATTTCAGAAAAGAATCTGTTTTCATTTTTAGGACATACAATGAACAGAAAAAAACATAGGTATAGGTGATATCTAATATGGATAAACTGCTGTGTGTTACATTTAGTTCTCTGAAGCAAAGTCTTCCTGTAAGTGTCCGGTATTCGGCATCAAATTCGTCCTCATGCACATGAAATAATACGTTATATCACATAGAAACGATTGGACTCTTATCCACTTCATAAGTATGGGATTTGATTGAAAATTAGACGAAATGACGTCAATCCATGGTGACAGTGTGTTTATGTGCCGTTGAACATTGTATCACTTAGCTATTAGCAATTTCCTATAGTAATTTAGACTTGACTGTATTTCAGTTAAATGTAGTAAAATAAGAAAATGTAAGTGACATTTTTATCAAAAAAATTAAAAAAAAATATGCTTAAAGACTTATCATGGTATACAAATGTATCGCACTGTTGTTTCATTTCCGAGGAACCGCCATGTCATAGACAATTCAAAATGCTATACTATACAGTCACTACAACCATTAAAAGTCAAAGAAAAATGTTTTCATCTTCACACGTTAAATGTTACGCATTCTGGAATATGAATAGTCTGAGTACCATGCAGTGGAATAAAAAAATTGAAATAGTCATTACATATTGTTGTGATACATGATATTTCTCATATGCTTTTTGTATCATTTTTTTTTTAATTTATTTACATTTGTTACATTAAATACCTACATAACACTCTTTTTGTATTGTTGTATTACTTTTTAACGTTGTCAATATAATGTGACAGGGTGATATACTTTGTTAGGTGCCTTTGGCATGATTTTCTGTAAGTGAAGTAGCTCTCAAGTCGACATCATATTTCCATTCGTAGTACCGTTTTATCAGGGTTTTCACAAAGAGGGATTAAAGGAATATGAATTGTGAAGAATTCAAAAGGTATTTTTCTAAATCTTCAGCACTCTTTCCTCAATAATGTTTCTCTGTTTACTCTGTACACTTACATACCTCAGATGGAAGGAACGCCTTCGTTATCTAATGGTGATAGCTTTCGCTTAAAAACAAACCAACTACAATACAAAAATATGACAGTAAACTATTTTGGAGTATATATTATTACGGAAAAAAGGAGAAAGACCAAGATCATCATCACTTAAAAGGCACTTTAATGATTTAATGACAGTGCTGCAAAAGTCATGTCAATGCGTGTATTATTGTTTATCTGACAGTAACTTAAATCCACATTGACACGAGATGTTTAATTGCCATTGTGATCAATCAAAGCGAAAGTGGTTCGATATTGTGAATCACTATTTCTGCGTCTGTTACACGTAGCTTTACATAGACATTGACAATCAATCAATTTTATATGATTTGAAACTGTTTGTTTATCATGACAATTCGTTCCTCTCAAACATGACATTGAATTATAACTTTACCAGTGCCATCTGTTTCGCACTGTTCTGGGGATGTGAGTTCGCCAAAATAACGCTTCAACAAGTGTGATGCCTAAGGCCTTATCTACGGGTGTTTTCCGTCTACATGGGGTGCTGTCAGAAGTTCCTCGGTACCGCTGTTCAGTACTGCTGGGCTCCAAATGTGTGAGACATGTGGATTATGTTTCAGTAGAATTGTCATTGACCATCAGAATAAACGATCATGAGGTTTTAAAACAGGATGGTTGGCATCAATCAATAGTAAGAATTCTTCATAAATATAAAACATCATATTTTCATTTGAGAACTAAAAATATCTATAAGGCTTTAACTAAAGTCAGAATACCGTTTTCTTATCAATTTACATTTACTTCACTTAAATACAGTCCTCCTGATGAATGTTCTGTATTGGGCATCGTGTGTGTGACCATCTACATGTAAAACCTAATATTGTTAAAAATTAACGAACTCTTATCTCCTTTTTTGTAGAAAATAGAGTTTGGTTGAAAATGAGATATTCAAAGAGATGTGTCTGCAACATGTTAAAGATTGCATCTCTCAGATGTTGTTGATAAAATTCAGGACAATCCAAGGCGATAGAGCACTAGAGTGATATGTTAAGGTTATAAGATATCTGTTACAATCACTACTGGCAGTCACGAGAAAACAGTACTTATTTTTCATACTTACGAATATACAATGATAACACAGAATACGAATATGAGAGAAAACTATTTTGGAATGGTGATCAAAGTTAATGTCTTCCTTAAAACTGTTTTGTGTATGTTTTATATTTATTCCAGTTAACAAATTGTCTACTCTATGAATTATGGTAGATAGCGAGTAACAGACCGTGTTAAGTATTCCTTATGCAGTTCATGAATTACTTTAAAAGCACATAAACCAAGAAAGTCGGTTATTTACATCACGACAGCAATGTTGTAATAACAAGACATTTAAAAAGGGAATATGTTATACTAAAGTCCAAATCTGCTTGATCTAATGACCTCAATGTTCATTAAACGTTTCAGATGCGCCCATGGGTGACCTTGTTTACGACCTGTTTGCAAGTTGTCAGTACCAACCATAAAAAAACAAGTCCTATAAGTGTGTACTAAGATGATTATAAGTAAAATAACTTGGAGACGAACACACAAAAACTGATTGGGTCTTGACACCAAAGGCCTTCGTGTCTGTGGTATATCATTACATACTGCGTTACAAGGGCATACTTTCCTGTTATAATAAGTATTTCAACAATGTATTCATTTGAGGTAGATGAAAGTAATATTGTGATATTACATTTCATTTAAAGAAAATGAATTGCATGATTTTATAGTAATTGAAGAAAGATGGAAAAGTAACAATCATAATGTCAACACTTTTCTTTCCATATTTCCTTCTTTAGGTTATAACCAAGCAAAATCACACATTTTTTCTAATGATTTCTATAGTAGGGCTTCTATTCTTTTCTTCCTCTCTTTTTACAATTCAAAGTAACGTTTGACGCAGATGGAAGGAACAGGGGGTGATCCCTTCCTCAGAAATATAATCATGGATCGAACTTTAGGATATCCATCGTGAACAGCGATATTAGAAACATTAAATAGATAGGTCACTTGTTTTTGTTCAAAACGCATCATCTAACGCCATACCTGAAATGAAATATTTCTTCTCTCACCTGTGACACACTTTGTGTATAGAAGACGCTCTCACTGGGGCACGGGATCAACGTCCGCCTTATCAGGTCAAACTGATCAGTTTAAATCAATATTCCAAGTGGAGGTTAATGGCCGAACACTGATTAAACAGACTAAGGTGACCGGAGGTCGTTCTGGCCAAACACTTCAAAACTGAAAGACGATAAGAAGTAGAGTTCTTGATAAATTATAACAACTTAGAATTGTTTGGCACTTTCAAATCATGTCAGATCAGAGTCTGACGCAAAAAGGTGAAGCCCAATCTACGATTTGATCTGAATTCAATCTACAAATATTAACCTAACAAACACATGTGACGGCAACTTTCAAATTTGGTAATAGACCAATATGCAATAAAATCAATAATACTGCACCATACAGCTGTTTCGTCCCTCTATGACTCATCAGTTATGCCAAGGACAGAAAAGCTGGAAATCAAAATTGATCAAACTACCTTTGACAGAAGAGGATGTGCGTTTAACTTCTTGTTCATATGAATTCCAAATATTAGAGTGCTGGTTTATTTCAAATTAATAATAACGAGTAACGTGTGTATATCAAGAACCGTGTCACTACTAAAAATATGATCTAACACTATTAATACATAAATGATAAGGTATTGATTTCAGATAATCATAAGATAGCGTGACATGGTATTAAGATCATCCACAGACTTTGTTAAAGACGAATTAATTTAATGAAGATGAAAGATACTGGCATGAGAACTATCCAGTAATATAACAGAAGAGCAGTTATTGTTATCAAATCGCTATATGCAAACACCATACAATTACTGATAATATCATATCGATTACAAGTATGTCATTGGAACTAAAGCAAATTCAAAAATTGTCAATCATGAATATAAGTCAACTTTTCGCCGGTGACTTCGTAAACCTGTTGCTTACTATATAATGGTGATTGTAAGCCATTTTTGTTTCACAATTATAACTAATACTGTTATCCATATGTTGTAAAGCGCTTTATATTAATTTTACAAATTATATAGGGCGTTATATAAATGTTGTATATTATTATTAGTATTATTGATTACCATGGTTATTTATCGATATTCTGATGACAGCCATTGTTTTTTCATCTATAACATACGATTTTTAATATTGATACTAGTATTCACATTTTCCTATAATTCTCTTTAAACATTTATTTCTAACTTCCTTTCTGTAAACGTATCGTTAATTAACAGGAAAGAGTAATCACGATACCACAAGTAAAACCGTTCCATACGACAGACCTATTTCCAGTCTATTTGATTGTGACGTGACGTTACTTAAATACCTATAATTTTACCCACTTATCCGTTTAAAGACTTTCTTTTCAAGGTATACATAAAAAACACATTCTTAAACAAACGAATCTTTGTGGTGTTCCGGGTCGTCATGGTAAACCACAACAAACAATCGCGACCTACACTCAACTACAAGCCCTTATACTTTTTCGGTCGGCTATTCATAACGGATGTCATTAACAAACCTATTTGGGTACACATCGGTAAAAAAGAAGTCAGCCGTGATGTGCTGAGGTAGCCAAATAACCCACAGCAACTTGTAAATATTTACCTGATGAAGAATGAAGTCTTTGCTTTTCACCTGGCCGACTGAAATTGTATTCCCTAGGCGCACCCCGTGTAACACGCCTCCTGTCCAGAGGAACGCATAGAATTTTAACCGATTTCATTACAAACATAGCCAGTTACTTTTAAAGAATGGTAGATTTGAGAAAGCAATTATTTTTACCGTATAATTGCTTGTATAAATCATGCATATTATAGCAGTCGTCTGCCTTAACGTGCTGACACATATATGTATATTTCTTGTTTCAGATATATTTACCAATTTTGATTCATAAACTTAAAGACTATGTAATCAATTTACGTCTTAAAAGAAATGTACGTACACAATACTGTTGTTATATTTACTTTCGTTCACTTTAATCAGTGACGTTTTTACATTTATCCACGGTGTACGTTGTTATACTTATAATCAGTGTACGTTACACAGTACTGTTGTTATACTAATAATATGTGTACGTTACAAAGTACTGTTGTTATACTTATAACATGTGTACGTTACACAGTCCTGTTGTTATACTTACAATCTGTGCACGGTACACGGTACTGTTGTTATACTTAAAAACTGTGTACGTTACACAGTACTGTTATTATACTTATGATCAGTGTACGTTACACAGTCTTGTTGTTATATTTATAATCAGTGTACATTACACAGTACTATTGCTATATTTATAATCAGTGTACGTTACACCGTACTGTTGTTATACTTATATTCAGTGTACGTTACACAGTACTGTTGCTATACTTATAATTAGTGTACATTACACAGTCCTGTTGTTATACTTAAAATCTGTGTACGCTACACAGTACTGTTGTTATACTAATAAACACTGAACGTTACACAGTATTGTTGTTATACTTATAATCAGTATACGTTACACAGTCCTGTTGTTATACTTACAATCTGGG